ACTTGGGGCAAATGTTGATTGATGTCCAGTCCTTGGGGGATAAGCATTTGTCACTTGATGAAGCTTAATTATTTATTGTAGATTTAGATTTTTAAAAATGAGTTCCTGCGGCTATTTTTTTTAGGCTGCAAAATGTTCAGCATAAGCTAAAAGAAAAATGAAGTGCTTCGTTCACGATTCAAGGTCACCAAAAATTAATATGCAGAATCGAGAACAACTTCTCCTGATTGCAAGAAAGACATTTCTTGCTTTTAATGTGCACTTGAGCTCCGTCAATTCTCCTAAAAGTGAAAAATCTGTCACTGCCTAGAATATAGAGTGGTCACGTTTTTTTAACATTAGCAATGTATTACAGAAAAAAATTATTGATAGAAGAGACCTGCAATTCATGGGGGGGGGGGGATGGCCATAACCTGGTTTTGTGTGAAGTGGTTTAGTGTTTTGTTAACAACTCATTCGTGATCCTCTTCATTCAATTTTTTGTAAAAATAAAATAAAATAAAAAATAAAGAAATGCTACCTTCACTGACGGAGAGTTTCAGTGCTTCTTGCAAAGACATTTTTGGAATGAGAGAGCAGAATTCGAATAAAAACTTGAAAAGTGCTCTGAAGAAAGTTTAGGAAATATGGGGGAAATTTGCTTTGGAAAATAAGCTCAAGTGAATAAAATTAGCAGAAAATATATTTTTTTAATGTCTGACCTGAAGATCCAGAATAAAAACTTGAAAAGTGCTCTGAAGAAAGTTTAGGAAATATGGGGGAAATTTGCTTTGGAAAATAAGCTCAAGTGAATAAAATTAGCAGAAAATATATTTTTTTAATGTCTGACCTGAAGATCCCCAATTGGCATACAGGTGGTACCTTGCAATTTGACATCTGGCAATTTCACCATCCAGTAGTCCAACAGTTCAATATTTGCTGGGAGGTTAACTTACAATTTTGATCTGCAGAGATATGCAGTGTCAAATTTGATGCAGAAAACATTTCATTTGACATTGTCTTGCAATTTGACTGCATCACAATTTGTATCCTAACATGGAAAATGGATTAGGGTTGAATTGTGGTGTACGACCTGTACTTATAACCAGTTTTTAGAAAGCCTGATGCAGCAAAAAGCTGGAATATGTTGTGGAAATTGACAGAAATCTGTCCCACACCCAGAAATGAAAATCCTCTTCTTGAGGAAATTTTCAACACGAAAATTTCGGATTTTGATTGCATTACTATATATAGGATTTGAAATGGGATATGTAATCCTAATCTTTCATCACAGCTTAACTAATTGTTTCAGTTTTATTGATCAGCGTTAACCTTACTTCCATCATATTTGAAAAGAAGGTGTTGGCTTGAGAGTCTTTGCAAAATGAAAATTCCTTTTCATAAAAACAGCTACGTGTAAACTTGAATTTTTCTTTGGATATGTCCCTTTTGTGTTCCTGTGTAGAATTTTCTGAGGTTACTGCTCATACTTTCAACTTTCTTACAACTTACTTTCAACTTGTCTAAACCAAATGTTGTCTTTGTGAATTCTTTTTCAAGTAACAAAATATATAAACTGAATAACATTTTCCCCCAAAAATGGTACAAAAAGGCATGGAATTTGGAAATAAAACACTTCAATCCTCTGGAGTTGTTGGGGAACAAGTCGGGCACCTGTAAATATCAATTATAATAACTCCCTGCTGCATCTCAAAAACTGGTCCTTTGCATCAGCCAAGCCACCAGCACCAAAAAACAAGTCCCAAAGGAATTGTAGGACAATGCACAGCATCGTCTTCGATTCCAACAAAATCAGCCAATCAGAGGCCAATATTTTGCCCACAAGGAAAACCACTTTTCCTTCTTTCTTCTGTCTCCAAAAACATGTAACAATGAATTCCATTCCACTGCCAGTTCTTGAAGTGTGAAGAGCTCATCTTAAGACATCTGAATTTATTATTGTGTTGTTTGAAATGTGTGTGCAAGGTCCAAAATTATTTGAGTTACATTTATTCTTTGGGACATTATTAAACACTCAATACTTTTGGGGCCTCTTTAAAGAGGCTCCAAGCCAGTCCCAGGCTGAATGTTGTGTTTTATTCATCTTTCTCATATTTTCTTTGTGGAGACTTTTTAGTCTCTAACAACACACAAAAATGATTTTAAATATTTTGCTCTCTTATTTCATCTTCCTATAGCAAAAGCGAACAGACCACCGCTCATCATCAATACTGTACTGTATTGCACCATCATGTTATTCTGAAAATAATTCACCTCAGAGAAAATGGCTCCCAGACACGCTTATTATTGATATTCTCTGCATAATTTTCACCCTCATACCAATTTCTTAGCAGCATGTACAATTTTCAATGAGTTTCTGAGATCTTGATTATTAAACTGACTTCAAATTTTTACTCAGGTGGACTCTCTCTACACATATCTTGTCTACAACGATTTTCTGTGCATAATTTTTTGATTTGTCTAATAGTTGGGGGTTCTCTCTATTTTAAAAGGGTTCTTTCTCTACAGAGAAATTTCCTCCACAATGATTTTTCTGCTCCCTTGATTTTCGTCGTAGAGAGAGTCCACCTGCATGATGTATTCACCTGTGTATATAAAAACAATATTTTGAATTTAGACATTGTAAATCGCGAAATTTTCTCATGCGGATTTAAGACTCATCATCATGAGATTCTTGCAATTTTGAACTGATCTGACCGAAAATCACGATTACAGTCGATAAAGAACAACTGTGTTCAGTACAGTACGGATGTACGATGCACGCAAATTTTTTTCGGTTTTTACAAGCGTCCTCTTCTCGCCAATTGCCAATTTCACGACTACACAATTAATTCGTCGAAAGAAGGGCGTCGCAAACTCACTCAATTTCGAATGGAACTAATTGCGATTGATTACACATATTGGTGAACATTTTGAAAAAAAAAAAAGGTTTCCAGCTCACGAATCGTTCTTCACCAAACTCATCACCCAAGTCTTTATACGACGCGCACTGATAACATTTTTTCACAAACGCGCCTCTCGTCGTCAACGTCCTCGTTATTTGCTCAATCGAAAAACCTTGACAACACAACAAAAAAAGAAAGGAAGTGATGGTATACCGCTCAACATCTCTCTGTCGTCATAAATATTTGCTCTTCCTGTGACAAAGTTCGCCGTCTCTATGTGAACCGTATTCCGAAAGCTTGAGAGGAAATATATTGTATAAAAACAGGGCGAGGAAAGAAGAACGAACAAAGTTGAGACAAAGGATTTACGCATCACGGAAACTCAAAAGGTAGCTTTTGTCGTTCATGCAAGCGCAGTATCTTCTAAGTCGAATATAAATTGAAAGATTTTGGAAAAAAAAGACAGATAATGCAGAAAATGTTTCGTTTACGCCCTTATATAGCATGGTTCAAAAATGTATCAATTTGATCACCGCGCAAAAATAAATCGAGTTTTCATCCTGATCTCTAGTATAAATGACTGCCATTTTCCCAGAAATTTCGGATAATTAAGGATAACAGGCTTCATTACTATACCTTCTATAAATTTATCATGCTAAGGAAATTTCCTCGCGGACCGGCGAAAATCTTCTGCGGACCACGGGTTGGAAAACACTGATATAGATTACTTCATAGTTCCTGGTATGTACGACAGTCATCTACGAGCACAATGAAAAACAATTACAGTAATACGAAACTGTTCCTTGAAAATCGAAACAAAACTCCCGAAAAAATCCGTATTCTCTCTCAAAACTCAATTCAAACGTGAATGATCCATTCCAACGATTTCAAAGCTTCGTTGTTTTTTTTTATCACTTTCCGCGTGTTCAACGTCACCGCCACAATGATAACCACGACGACAGGAAGGCAGAATTAATTAAAACAGAGTTAACCTTGAGGCGAAGGTAATGAAAGGAAATTGCGTCACACAAGCTCATTATTATAATTCCGTCACTGGAACTTCATTTCCCTTGGCTCGCGGACCACTGCATTTTCATTATTTCGACAGCACCAAGAGATTAAAAACATGCGACCTATTCAAAGATTTCGAGGGAAATTTCGACAGATACACTAGCTGTAACGAAGATGATAAATAATGGTAATCACTGAACTCTGTCTCCTTAACGGAGAAAACAATAGACATGAAACCATTTTAATAACTCATTCCGCAGCCTGAAGTCGTATGCAGCTCTCAGTTCAGTTTTCAAAAACGACTACAGTATATTAAGGAGAATTCATCGTAGGGCTAATGAAGTCGACAAAAAGCTCGCGCACTTTAATAGCGACATCTGGGTATTTTTTGACGCAAACATCTACCGGCAGTGGCAGACCTTTCCGTTGCATGGGCGCGATTTTCATGAAGGATGAAATCCCGATGAGAAACGTCTTGTTCCCTTCCCTGGTCACGATTGGTCCACCGATATCTCCCTACAGAAAAATAAGTAACGATATATAAACATACTCTCATCATGCATTAATTGATACAGGTGAAATCTCTCCACAACAAAATTCAGAGGACCAGAAAAAAACTTGTCCAAGAGGATTAACAACCCCTATGACAAAGCTTTCCAATTTTTGGTGGATTGCAGAGGTGGAGCGAGTCTTTTTAGGCCACAACAGACAATACTTCCTCTCATAAAAATATATGCGATTTATTTTAGGGCTCGTGAGAAACTTTTCCACGGCAAATTTATTTGAAACAAGCTCCAACGTTTCCCCTTTCACCAATGGGTGTCAGAGGGTTCCTTCCATATCCCACAGTATAGTCAGGATTTTTCTGGGGGAGGTGCAATTTAACCAAAGGTTATCAAAATGCGCCTGGGTTGGGAAAAATCTGGGTAGAGAATATCCTCTTGTCTTGAGAAATCTCCACTGTTAATTATATGCTAGGAAACCAGAAAACATGCGACCCAGTAAATAAGGATTTTATTTTTTATTTTTTAAGGTAGAATTTTCTGCAGGATTAGAAAAAAATTTTCATTTCTTCCCAAAATAGGCCTTGGTTCAAAAATATAATTCTTTGAAATTGTCAGTGCTCATGAGCATATAATTTTGCAAGAATATCCTGACTTAGCCACACAAGGGTTAAAGAGACATTTTCAAATTTAATTTATTTATATGCACTGAATCACAAACCTAGCCTGGTAGAATTTTTGCAAGCTGCTGAAAATTTTAAATTCATCTTTCAATATATTCTGAATAGTGGCTGCTGACACCTTGAAATTGTAAGGAAGGGACCATAGTATCAATGAAGGGTATGTGCAGGCCAGATCTGGCCTGTGGGCCATGGGCAGCACTGCTTTTGCAGATGGATACATAGAAATGCCCCAATGGACCAAAAACAACAAACTGTGTCACACACAGAAAATTGTTGTAGAGAGAATCTTCCTGTATCTCAATTCTCTAAATAACCAACAGTGCAAATCCCAGTCGCTGATTGTTGTTGATCCACATCAGACCTTATCTGCTGTCCTTTGTCAGGTCCAGTTAAACAGACATGATAGAAACCTATCTTAGGAATGATTCCTGTGAGGTTCTTTATTTCCACATCCTCCCAATCCTTTCTGCAGTTGTCTGTTGAGTAAACCTGCATTTCAGCTGCTCTTAGACCAGTCGGCATCACTGGAACTGATCAAAATGTACACTTCATTTTAGCGCATTAGGTCAAAAGAAATTTCTTCTTCACTTGATGGACAGTTTTTATTCACCAGATGAATCAATCTGGCCCCACCCAATGGCTTCAACTTGCTGCCCAGGGACTGAGTCTTGGCTAGATTTGGAACTAATAGTAACAGGTCCCACAGATCCTGAAGAATTTCCAAACACCAGGGGCAAAGAAAGCTCAATCAAGGCCAGGTCATATTCCAAGGTTTGTCTATCAAACAAAGGATGCACTTTTGCAGTTCCATTTCTCTTCTGCTCCCCAGGTTCTTCTTGTCTGGAATTGAGATCACCAACAGTGACCTCTATGGTTCTTGCTGGTATCCTATGATTGCACAAAAACAAACACAATTACTAATATACAGTACATAATTAGTCTTGGGTGGTTTTTTTTACAGATTTAGCTTATTTACCCAGTTGCCTCATCTATTGCACATCTGGCAGAAGTCAGAACCCAGTTCTCAGAGATGATTGCACCTCCACAGACCAAAGGGCCAAGTCGGCCTAAATGCCACATTTCCAGACGAGCCATGAACTCATACCCTGATCGGTTCTGAACTGAAAAGCCACCATAAATTCTTTGTGTGGGAAGACTGAACGGCCAGAAGGTTACCAATCTTCCAGCTGGCGATCTTGGGATTCTCAGGATTGCAAAGAGGGCATCTGCAACAAAGGTGTGAGGATGCACATCAGCAGCTCATGAGATGCAAATTTGTGCATGGAAAGACATTTCATCACAGGCTCACATTTGATTGCCATCTTGATTGCTATACCTTATGCATTTACTCTAGTGCTGAAATACTGTTCATTGCTAAATTCCAACAATTGTTAAAGGTGCAACAGTATTTTATTTTCAAGTGCATGTTAAAATACCACCAACACATAGAGTTCAACCTCTCTGAGTCAAGTTAGGGCTCAAAAGAGAAAACTTAATGCAGTCTTGAGTTGGGAATTTGGCCTGATTTGTGAAGGTTAATCAATTAAAATAGTTTATGCATCATTATTAAAATGAATCACTTTCAAATGCCCTACCAGCAGAAAGTTCCCAAAACCCTCCAAGGAAAGAATTAAAAAAGTTTTGCACATGTTCTGAATCAGGCTCTGTATTAAAAATTTGACTTTAGGTGTGAATTAAACAAAAATCTGATCAATTTCCAACTTTTCCAGTAAAAAATGTTTTCTTCTTACATTTGTTCCAATTTTCTCCCTTACAAATAATTATAATACACACATAACTTCCTAAAACTTCTTGAAAATTTTGTACCCGCTTATGACGCGCACCCCTTTTTTTTTGAAATTTGGGAAAAAAGGTGCGCGTGGTACTCGAGTAAATACAGTATATAGTGATTGAACTGTATGCAAGGGTTGTCAAACTGATGATCCTCATAATTAGACATTTCTGACATTAAAAAAATCGCACAATTTAAAATGGAACTCCCATCCCCCTCAAAAACGAATTGCAATGGTCAGAAACTAACCTTGACAGAAGAATGTCAGAAAAATTAGTTGACCAGCATTTGCCAACGCCTTGCGATTACCACCCAAAACAAGTTTCATCTTTTTTTTTATTAAAAGATAACTGATCATCCAAAAATGTTGAAATTTTGAAAAAAATGTGAAAAATATGATATTCCATACCTGAACAATATTGTAATTCTTAGAACACTCACGAAGAAATTTAAGAATTCCATAAAATGATTGGGAAACTCCATGTTTAATCAGAAATTGTTAGTTTTTCATTATGCAGTGTACAACGTTGAGAAAATGTCTTGAAAATATAAAAAGGAAACGTTTTGAACACCTCTTCATTTTTTAAAATCAACTTTCTTGAACACGTGTCAGAAATATGTAATTATAAGCGACATTAGGACAAACCTGGCATAAAAATGGTGATTACAAGTACCTGGTTTTCATCACTGACTCATCATTTTTTTTCAATAGAGGTGCTAAGCCAAAAACGCTAACCACAGCTGGTCAATGTCGTCCAAATGATGGTTCTTCAACATCAAGCTGTAGCTACTTTTCGAATCTTTTGTTTGAATATTTTAATGTTCGAAAACCTTCAGTTTTCCGGGCGTTCCATAGTCATACGATTGATCATTTCAAAATGTCGAAGCATACTTTTAATGATTTGCGTTAATCATGCTCGCACTAAATTTCGTTCAAATAATTTTTTATACTTATAGGGTGCTGTTAAAAACTCGAAATCCACCATTAAATCGTAGAAAACGTGGGTCAAATGGTTGTAGAACACAAATAAAATCGGAGTGTAAAAAAAATTAAAAGTTTGAAAAACTTGTTGAAAAAATTCGAAGTTTGAAAAATGAAACAGCAACAACGCACCATACAAGAAATCCAGGAACCAAGCTTCACAGAACGACACAGAGAGAATGCAAGCAAATGTCAGAAGAATAATCTTCATCTCGAACACGCACTTTTTATTCACGGGAATTTCAACTCTTCCAAATTCCACTAAACGTATTTATCCTTTTTGAAAAACGAAGCTCTGTTCGTCAGAGAAAAAAAACATTTATTCTTCAAAATCTGTCACAATTTAACAAAAGCAGAGAAAAAAACACGACCGCTACTCCACACTTCATGTCTCAAGTAAAAGAAAACCATGAATCAAACGCGAAGTTGCGCGTCAAAGTGAGGAAAAAAAAGCAAAACGTCGCAGAAGAAAAAAAAACTGAAAAACACACAACGTAAGAAGAAGAAAAAAATATTCTCCTCCCCGCAAAAGAAAACGTCGTTTTTCTTCCATTACACCACAAATCATTTCAACTTGTTGAAAACACTCAACCTCCAATATCCCCAATTCTGCTCAGGCGCTGTACATTTTGCTTTCACTGACATACTAAAACTTCAAAGAGAAAGTGAAACATGTTTTTGTTAAGTCATGGAAGATTCCTTGCTTGGTGACCGAATTTTCATGCTTCCTCTGAGTCATTCAGAACACGATGAACTTGTTTTACTATGGTTACCTGGAAACAATATCAAAGTAAATGGGCCCACAGAACATAGCAAATAATAGGAGGAGGGTTTTATTTGACATTTGAAAAAATCCAGGAAATAAATACATGATGTATATAGTTAAGAATTTAGAGCATTCAAAAAGCAGCAATCCTGAAACATGCAGAATCTGGTCTGAAAATCAGGAAATAAATACAGTATGTATATAGTTTAGAAATTACAGCATTCAAAAAGCAGTAATTATGAAACAAACAGAATCTGGTCTAAAAATCAGGAGTTTTTGGCATGCATTTACCACCTTTTCTAGGCTTACATAAGCTATATATGCATATGGACAATTTTTAAAAGACTTAATCGGTTGAAAATATGCATTTAAGGGAGGTTGAACTAAGCTAAGCAAGATAGAATAGGCAGTATACATGGAAGTGTGGATCGCAGATTGTTAACATTGCATCTAAAGGCCTTTTGAGAAAGTCCAAGAAAGACCAAAAATAAAAATAAAACAAATTTTCTTCTTGATTTCTCTCCAGGAAGTGTGCAGTGCAGCTTCAGTAATGCTCGAAAATTTGAGTTTCAAAATTTGATCCGGACAAACAGACAGACAAGAAAGTGAGTTCATAAAAACGTGGTAAAAAAAGGAAACATTTTGAACACCTCTTCATTTTTTAAAATCAACTTTCTTGAACACGTGTCAGAAATATGTAATTATAAGCGACATTAGGACAAACCTGGCATAAAAATGGTGATTACAAGTACGTTTTCATCATTGACTCATCAATTTTTTCAATAGAGGTGCTAAGCCAAAATCGCTAACCACAGCTGGCCAATTTCGTCCAAATGATGGTTCTTCAACATCAAGATGTATAGCTACTTTTCGAATCTTTTGTTTGAATATTTTAATGTTCGAAAACCTTCAGTTTTCCTGGCGTTCCATAGTCATACGATTGATCATTTCAAAATGTCGAAGCATACTTTTAATGATTTGCTTTAATCATGCTCCCACTAAACATCGTTCAAATAATTTTTTAAACTTATAGAGTGCTGTTAAAAACTCGAAATCCACCATTAAATCATAGAAAACGTGGGTCAAATGGTTGTAAAACATACATAATATCGGAATGTAAAAATTCGAAGTTTGAAAAACTTGTTGAAAAAATTCGAAGTTTGAAAAATGAAACAGGAACAACGCACCATACAAGAAATCCAGGAACCAAGCTTCACAGAACGACACAGAGAGAATGCAAGCAAATGTCAGAAGAATGATCTTCATCTTGAACACGCACTTTTTATTCACGGGAATTTCAACTCTTCCAAATTCCACTAAACGTATTTATCCTTTTTGAAAAACGAAGCTCTGTTCGACAGAGAAAAAAAACATTTATCCTTCAAAATCTGTCACAATTTAACAAAAGCAGAGAAAAAACACGACCGCTACTCCACACTTCATGTCTCAAGCGAAAGAAAACCATGAATCAAACGCGAAGTTGCGCGTCAAAGTAAGGAAAAAAAAAAGCAAAACGTCGCAGAAGAAAAAAAAAACTGAAAAACACACAACGTAAGAAGAAGAAAAAAAAATTTTCTCCTCCCCGCAAAATAAAACGTCGTTTTTCTTCTATTACACCACAAATCATTTCAACTTGTTGAAAACACTCGACCTCCAATATCCCCCATTCTGCTCAGGCGCTGTACATTTTGCTTTTACTGACATACTAAAACTTCAAAGAGAAAGTGAAACATGTTTTTGTCAAGTCATGGAAGATTCCTTGCTTGGTGACCGAATTTTCATGCTTCCTCTGAGTCATTCAGAATACGATGAACTTGTTCTTCTAACTATGGTTACCTGGAAAGTGGAAACAATATCAAAGTAAATGGGCCCACAGAACACAGCAAATAATAGGAGGAGGGTTTTATTTGACATTTGAAAAAAAAATACAGGAAATAAATACAGTACTCTACGTATATACAGTGAGCCCCCACATGCGGACACCTCAACATGAGGACAATTTGACATAGGGACATTTATTTTTCAATAAAAAGGGCATGAACAAGGCCCAACATTAAAACACTGACTCAACATGAGGACATTGCATGATAAAATTTGCAATAAATTTCAAAAAGATTGACTTATTTGGCTTGATGCAAGAAACAGAATTTTCAGACCCTAAGATTTACGCAAGAAAAATTCTTTGTCATTTCTCCCATTATTTTTTCATCCATTCAGCAAATAAAAAAATTACCTATTTCATAGAGGGGTTTCCTTCTTTCTTTGTGACTTGAATGTCATTTTTGTAGGGTCTCACTGTAGTTTAGAGTTTAGAGCATTCAAGAAGCAGTACTTCTAAAACATACAGAATCTGGTCTGAAAAGCAGGAGTTTTTGGCTTGCATTTACCACCTATTCTAGGTTTTCATAAGCTATATGCGTATGGACAATTTTTAAAAGACTTAATTGGTTGAAAATATGCATCTACAGGGGTTGAACAAAGCTAAGCAAGAAAGAATATACAGCATGGAAGTGTGGATTGCAGATTGTTAACATTGCATCTAAAGGCCTTTTGAGAAAGTCCAAGAAAGACCAAAAATAAAAATAAAACAAATTTTCTTCTTGATTTCTCTCCAGGAAGTGTGCAGTGCAGCTTCAGTAATGCTCGACGTCTGCTGACATAAGTCATCAAAAACAGGTTAACTCAATTTCAATTTCAGAAGTGTGGCTTGCGAATTTTTAGCGTTGTGTCGTCTAAGGGCGTTTACAAGAAGTTAAATAAAAAAAAATCCTTGAAAACGATTTTTCATTTTCGATTTCATGTCAGAAGTCGTTGAAAAAGGGTTTTTGACCTGGTTTCATTTTCGAATTTGTGGGTTTCAGATTTTTACATAACTGTGGTGCGTCTTACGGGGTTTTGAGCAAGTTCAAGAAAAACCAAAAAACAAACATCGAAAACGATTTTTCCATGCATGAAGTCTTCTGAAAAAGTCCTCAATTAAATAGACGTGAATTACAATTTTTCATCATTGCATCCACCTAAAGCCTTGAGGAATGCTCAGGCGGGTGCAAGACACTTAAAGGTCAATGCAGTAATTTTCGAAGGAAAGTTTGCTACCCGCTAAAATGCAGATTTGAAAAAAAAAAAAANACATCCTTTGACCACCCAAAAACTGTATACTGTATTTTATAATTTAAAGATAAATCTTGATAACATAAAATGTTGGATATGCACGGTGTGAAGGAAGAATTCAATTAAAATAGTCCACCTATATCACCAGACAAATTTTCTTCCACATATATTCACAGAATGCAGTCAACTGGGTTAACTAAAAGAAACGAGGGAAAAAGAAAACCCGGAGGTCTTCTCATATATACTGTATAAGGCACGGTTAAAAATTCGGGACTTGCATCTGGTCAAACGTGCGCTTTTCATCCGCGAACCCAGCATAGCAAGTGTCTTCCAGTGGATTGTCATACTCGACTTTTTCCAGTCCACTGACAGCAGTGATGTCAAAGAAGCTTTCTCTGCCTCTGACCAAAGATTCCATCACTTGCTTTGAATTGCAGGACTCTGGACTTCGCTTGTGGTCCCCTTTGTTGCGCGAGGATTGAGTTCCTACGTCTTCGGGGACTATGTCCATGAGAACGTCTCTGTTCTCAGGGGAGTCAGTTCTCGGGAATGAGAGGTGATTCTGGAGCCACACATGTCGCCCTAATATATATAGCAGCAGCATGATAATATAATGGTTATTATGCGCATTCCTATCGTGTTATCCAGAAAATGATCGTAGTCCATCACACGTGTTCGTCATTTAAAGAAGTGAGTTATTGACTATGGTGATACGACTTGCGAAGTTGTTATTCACACTACTTTATCCCAATCAGCGACAGAGCCTTTTCAACCTCGCTTCCCATTCCCACATGCATTTTCGCATTAGACGTACCTAACGGACTTGCAGATTTTAATTTTGACTTCAATTTGGAGTCATATAAGGAAGGATCCGCAATCTCAGGTTCGAAAATTTCTTATATCACACAGCAATTCTTGCTACAGTATATGTCTTGCCTATTCTTCGTGAGACTTTTTCCTCTCGATTTCAAGTTACACATTACTGTAGTTGATTTTCCTTACATGAAGCACAGCCGCGGACTCGCCGGAACATCATGTAACAGAAGAAAACGAATATCCCGTGGTTACAAAATCTCAGCCTCAATTACAGCAGATGTACACAATCCGTTGTTGGGAATTTAAGGTGCTAACCACTGAAACGTAAATACACTACAGTATATGTACATATACAGTATCTTTTGGAGAGCCTATGGGAAGTGTATATAAACGGGATGCGGTTGTACGACGCGACCTTCTTTATTAATCGAGTACGTGTAGAAAACATACAATACATTGTATCTCGTAAAGTTGAGAAGCTCTGGGATTTTACGAATTGTTAAAAGAATTTTTCAGTCTAATGCATTTATTTCATTTAATCCCTCATAAATGAAAACTTCCATGTTATGGCCGCGGAGTTCTCAGTACTATATATCACAGGCACACATGTGGGTGCTAAAATTTTTAAAGGTCAGCATAAATATTATATTTTGTATGCCATCTTAACCATTATATTTTCAACGTTCAAAATGTGGGGGAAATTTCAACTTGCAATTGGCCGAACAAAATTTAAGAACCCTATGTATAGTGAGTGGGCTGTGACATGGGGTGGAGAACTCGACTGCTGGCCATAACTGGGAAGTTTTAACTTGTATCATGCAATAAATCGAAAATTCTTTTCAAAAGACCGGAAAAATCAGAACCTTATAACTTTATGGGCTACATCATAATTTTTTCTACTGTCTCTGTCTGCATATAGATAGCCTGCTATATAGAACCGTGCAATTCGCGCTCAATAATTCGGACAACCTTCGTATATACATCACAAAAGATGGCAGGAGGTAACTCGTGGTCCTCCAAAGTACCATAAGTACCTTATGCACTTCAACCGGATTCTTAGGTTTTTCGGGGTGCATCCGAAGATTCAACTATCTCAAGCACTTAACTGTATATTGTACTTGAATCGTAATTTGATGAGACTCACCGATTCGATCAATGGTGATTCTCCGCGTGACGTCTGGCTCCAGTATTTGATTCAGCATTTCCTTAATCTCGGGGCCGAGTTTATCGCGGACCTTGCTCCGCAGATGCCAATTACGACTTTGTTGATCCTTCAGCATCTTCTTCAGGTTACTGTCATCAAACGGCATGGCAGCGTTCACCATTATGTAAAGTATCACCCCGAGCGACCAGATATCGGACATTTTTGGATTGTACGGGTTTCCGCGAACAACTTCCGGAGCCGCATAGGCAGCGGATCCGCAGTAAGTTTCACTCAGCACGCGACGACCATCTTGGTCCACCACAGCGCGAGCGAAGCCGAAATCACCCAGTTTTACGTTCCAATGTCTGAAAATCAGATGACCTCCATCATATTATACTGCTGCGTATGTAATAGGCAACCGGCAGCATATGCCATCTAATTTTGATCGCAGTTGGAACACGGTTCGGCAGCATGACGAAAAATGGCCCATCGGCGGGGCCGGTTCTTCCGTACTGCTGTATACTTGAGGCAAATCTAGAAATGCCACCCTACACAAAAACTTATCAAGAGCGAACATATTCTGCACTTCAATCTAACATAGGCACATACTTCGAATAATTCTTGATCGCTTTCACGGAATTAAATTTCCTGCTTCTGTCCTGTTCAACTTCGAGGCACTCATAATCCGTTCAGCAATAAAAATTTTGTGAAAGACATATATCCGTATAATTCCCTTCCACTGGCGCGGGCTGACGTACAGTATTCCGATTTTGATTCTAACATACCGTCTTAAAATTATACAAGCGACATCTATGTATTTTCAAACCATCCATTTATTTGAAACAGTATGTATATATGCTGTATGATCTAATAGTTCCTTCAACGCCCAACTTATTTGAAGTACCCGGATCTAAATTTTAAGTACCAGATGCATGCTGGTAAGTACCGATACATCATTGCCTTTATACCAATCGCTTAACAAGAAATCGAAGTTCTCATTTCAAATCAGGCAAAGGAATATTACAGGGAATAATGCGCATGAATGTTGTTCATTGATAAATGCTTACCGTGTCAGAAGCACGTTTTCGCATTTCAGGTCCCGATGGGCAATGTTCCTAGAATGAAGGTACGATAGCCCGGCGTACATTTGCTTAAACCAAACGCGGGCTTGAGGCTCCTTAATGACTCCATGATCCCTGACATAGTCGAGCAAGTCACCATTTTCGCAATATTGCATGAAGATGAAAACTCTCTCTTGACGCTCAAGAATTGAATGAACCCGAATCACGTGTGGATGGTCAAGCCATGTAATTATATCGAGCTCCCGGGGGAAAAATTTGCCCAGGAAGTCCGACGGAGCTTTGCTGCGGTCGATTATCTTGCAGGCTAGAATTTCTTGCCGAGAATCGACAACGTATGTGCAGGACCGAACTTTTGCGTACGAGCCTTGTCCTGAAACACATGGATTAGAGTCCCACTTTGATTATACTGCAGCTTCCAGCAAGCAATAACATTATGTTGGAGAAAGCCATCGAAATCTAGAGTAACCCAGCATTGGCAGGCTAAACGCGTGACCGGCTGTGTTCAGTTCGGTACACGTTACCGTACTGATGGACAGAGATGCGCTGGCTAAACTGAATGCATGCCAACTCATGTGAATGAGTCATGTACTGTAAGAACTTGATGTGAATGAAATCTGCGTACGCATACGGATTGAGTGCATGATCGAAGTGACGCCTTATTCCTTCGTGGAATTTTCCTGATGTGATTAACTATACCTATTTTCCCTCCAAGAATGTAGCCTCTTCTTTGCAAAGCTCGCTCATCAGCAGAAGTCGTTGATCGTGAACTGTTAGCCATTGCTCAACGACCTGGAGCAGTACGCAGTGATGAAACGTAGGACGAAGTTCAGATCCATGGGTCGTCAGGATTTTAGCCTCTGCGTCGCCATGAATTACTACCTAGAGTAGTAGTAGTTTTCATGTTGACCTATCTTTTGATCGATATTTCTTACCACGATTATTGTGAAAATTGATGTCACTTGGTCTCGTCTTGCTGAAAATTTTCTCGAAGAACAGAAAAGCTAAGAAGATAAATTTCAGTTAAAGGGTCCTCGCGGGACGAGGGAAAGACTATTGTAGGTATAAGGGTGTAGGTAGAGAAGTATTAAAGAATCCCGCGGAGTAGATAGGATTAGTATGCTAATTTCTTTCATCGTCGCTCGTCAGACCTTTTGCGGTGAATTTAGTTGTTGAGGATCTCCCTGCTTGGAAATACGCTCGTTCCATGGCTGATGCTATCAATTATTTATGAGCATATGTGTACAGTCGCTTTTCTGTGATTTTCAATCATTTGATGTTTTAGAATTCTGTTCTAAAGTATTCTATAATAATTTTAGGGGTACATCACGATGGAGATATTCCATCACGCTAGTGCAACATTTAGTGCTGCACGCGATGACTTTCAATGGCATTTATATATCATTGCAGAACGTCCTTCCCAAGTTTCGATGTTATTGTATTACCTTACAGCAGAAAGCTTGCACATCCGCGACTACGAAAAGCATTTTTGTTGATCCCGATGTGATCAGCTTGTTAGTTTTGCCCTTTTTTATTACAGCTTGTGTTTTGTGCACTCTATATAAGGTCGTTGAAGGGACATGTTGAGTGGTCATATGATTCAATTGAACGAGCATTGGGTGAATTTTCTATCCCACGTGCTCGGAAATTGCAAAAACTGGACAGTAGATATCATAGGCGCGGCGAATATTAGCTGGGAAACAGACTACGGGAAATATGCCATTCTCCGGAAGCTTGCTATTCACACGAAAACAGCTGATCCTAAGCTCATCGAAGTTCGGAAATATGATCTCCTTTCGAGAACACTGCGTGATCGTGCTGTTGATTGCCACCAACGGAAGCTGTACTTGCAAGCTTTGGAATTCATAAACCGAAGCATCGTTTCTGCCGGACCAGACGAGCTGCCCATGTCGATATTGAAGAGAGTAGAGTTCGTTCTGTCGATTGAAAAAATTGCGTGGATGAAAAGTGATCTGGAATTTCTCGGGAAGCACTGTGAAATCAAACCGGAGTTGCAGCACGCCTACCTTCACTATAAAGGTATAAACAGAATTTTCTTGCCAATTTTTTTGGTCCGAAAATAAATTTTTTGATGGAGATTACTGTATGCAGATTTGTTGTACGTATTCCATACTCTCTCAGTGACTCATTCGTTTTTTTCTAAGGATGAGAAAGACTCATCGTGACTCCAATATACTGTAGATACGTACGGTATAGTTTTCTCACATTACGTTACAGCTACCGGAAGGGTACATTTAGAGTAAGACACTTTGGTCGTATACCTTGGGCGCATATATATGATCAACGACTTGTAAATTCCAAGTGGAAAGCGATAGTTGAATGAATAAATCAGCCGGTAATGAGTTTTGTGAAGATAATCAATTGAGTGAGAAACTATATAATGGTAGACCCGTTTCCATGCACCTGCTATCGTGCAGTTAGTTACTTGCTGTACGCCCTTCACGATTAAATTCTGATTTTGCAGGTTTGTATCACATGTGTGTGAAGGACGAAGAGAAAAGCGTGGAATTTTTCTCAGAAGCAATCAAGAATATCGATCGCATTAACGCGGATAACGCACGCGGACTTCGGGAGAAAGCAGGACACGGAAAAATTCCCGCAGAAATTGACGAATGGCTCAAGAAAGAACGACGAGAAACTCGGTTATCGGAACATTCTCACATTCTTTCCCCGTTTCGTGTGTTGGAGCTTTTCCAAGACTCCTTAGCTGGCATAGACACGGATGCAAATAGTTTTTCTTGCGATTTGTTGGAGAGCCGGACGTCGAGCGATGGACAATCAATAAACACTCACGTAGCTAATGCTCGCATTAAGGCTGGTACGAGGTTGCTGAGTCAACCAGCAAAAGGAGCAGTTTTGAAGAAGGAATACAGTCAAACTCATTGTCAGCGATGCGGCATCTTTTGCGCTTATCATTTGTATCCTTGCAAGACATGCACTTCTGTGAGTATTCCTGTGATGAACTTTGTATTGCGAGAGTTTTTCAGGTCTTGAGTATGTCTATTACTGTAATACCAACCACGACAAAATATCCTATTTTCCTCAGCTATTTTTTCAGAAGTGTCAATTTTCGTACGTTTTCTTCCTATGGAAAATGAAGATGAAATTAATCCATGAAAAGATTACGTCTTCTCGTAAATATTTTTTTTAGAAAATGGTCCTTTCGATCCTGGAAAAGAAGAAAAAACAATAAAAGGAAAAACCTCTTCATTACCGATTTTACCGATACATCGTTAAACGTGCTTCAAAAATTCAAGTAATTTTTAGAAATGGATATAGTTGCTCAACTCTGAAGAGAACTTCTGCGAAGTTCTTCCAAATGCGACATTGAGGAAAACCTGCATGCATTTACCAAGTATTGTCCGCGTGAACGGAAGCTTCTTTTTCTGGAAAGATTGAGTTTTGGAATCCTGTGTGTAATAATTTCTGCGGAAGGCTTCTGTAAGATTAAAGTAATTTTCGACGACGTGTTGAGCATCCCAAAAATGTTGACACATGCGAATAGTGCTTGATATTACTGATCAACCGTCACTTTTTCCAGGTGGTTTATTGCTCCATCGTTTGTTACGAGAAGTGCAACGACATACACGCCCAAGAATGCTCTATTTTTCCGACGCTTTCGGTTTGCAGTGAAGCAGATGCGACGCTTATTTTAGCTGTTAGGGACGTGATGAAGAATTCACTTCAGACGTGGAATAAATGTTTCAAGAAAGGCGATCAAACGTTTGATGACGAGATGTCGATTCAAGATCATCTTCAATCAAGAAAATTAGGATTGAATAGTGAAATGCAGAACGCATTGAAAGCAGTCTTCGCCATTCGAGTGCTCAAGTCTTCACCTTGGTGGAAGAAATGCAGAAATGCGAAACTCTTGGAGTCTGTAGACTTCGAGTGTCGCCTGGGAGAGGTCATTCTACGGAAACTGAGGATAAATACACATTTCCAATTCCCTGTTCGAAAGAAGTGCGCCGTTATGAATGAATTGGGAGAATTAACTGTGGAGGAAGTTGAAATTGGCTTTGCGCTGTTCCCGAAGCTCTCGAGGATCCCTCACAGCTGCGCTCCGAATTCGATTTTGTGAGTTCACTGAAAACAAATTTGTGTCTGAGATTTTGAGTGAAATTTCTGGATATTATTAGAGCAACGTATAATTTGAAATTCCGAGCCATATGAGTATAATTACAGTCTGCTAGAACTATATAAGGACACATTTCCAATCGACCTTATTGTCGAGCCAAGCTGCTTTACAATTTTTCTCGAGGTTATGTTCATTTTCTTTTCTTCTTTGAAGTAAATTTTTTCGTTTATTCATCCAAAATGGCAATTCGCCAGTTCAGCAAAGCCCAGACGTCAAAAAACTAGAATCCTTTTAGTCAGCTCATTTTAAAATTGTTGTGAAAATGAGAGTATAAAATGCTTTTAAATAAATGCATTTGATTCATAAGTAATGACTTATGAATCAAATGAAAATAAAAAAGCCTATTTTTGAAACTCGAAATGACCTCAATTTACCAAACCTGGCTTAATCAAAATTAATCTAACGTTTCATAATCCAACGTAAGCTATCCCGTAATTAAAATTTAGGGCAGTTTTGATGACACCTGTACCGTGGCAAGGAAAATTCCGGGGCGGGGATTTAAAAAAGGGAGTACAGGAGGACGATCAACATGCTGTGGTATTACTGTATATTGACTCGATCTCCGTATATTCTCACCTAAAAATACTACGATAGCTGCAGTCTGCTCTTCATTCGTCTAGTGATAGTCCATTATATTTTATATAGTAATAAATTTGTAGATTTATTTTTGAATATTTTCAGGATAACCGACGGATTTCTGTCGCACATCACCACCATTAGGCCCATCCCGGCCGGGGAAAGTGTAAGCATTTGCTACGCCGTCCCATTTTTCGACGCGGAAAAGCAGCTTCCCCATGCGAAGTTGGCGAGATTCGGTCAGCAGGATTTCTCTTGCGACTGCGTGGCGTGTGTGGAAGACTGGAAAGTGCTCAAGTTCGACGTATTTCCTATCCCGGCATCCGATATTTTACGGAAATTGCGTTGTTGCTGTTGCCGCCATGTTCAAAAATCGAGCGAGTTTACACGCGACGGCCGCTGCAAAAATTGCCGTTCGAGTATCCCTGAAATGCTTGTCGGAGTTCAGCAGCTGCTGGATAAATTTGACCTTGTGACGAAAGGATTTATAGCCTCTTTCGATTTGTGCTGTTACGAGGGGGAAAACTTGCTACACTTTTCGCCGCATTCGGCCTTAGTTGCTGATTTGATGGAAACGATTGATGTACTGGACGAAAGCATTGTGGAGAAACAGCACCAAGGGTTCTGGTGGCTGTGCAAAACGTTGGCGATGCTTTTAATGCCGGAAAATCGCCCGTTGTTTTTCAAGATGGATTCGGAGGCCGTTGTTGACCAGCGGGAAATTTTTGAGCAAATTCAGGAGAAGTTAGGAGTGCTCATAGAAGACAAACACACGAATACGCTTTGAAATCGACTTTTCTGCGCAGTAACGAAATTTTTCAAGGAGAATATCTCGATTCTTATGAATTTTGCTTGGTAAATTTCTGGTTGATAGAAATCGTTTTCCTTTTCAACCGAGTTTCTGAAGCATTTTCACATGCTTTGCGAATGTTGTCATGTGCCAAAATCAAGATTACGCTTGTTACTTGTTGTCAGTAATTGATTCACTCACAATGAACAGCTTTTGTTTTTTTTATCCCTTTTCGAACACTTTCTTGCGATATCGTAGTTTCTGTATTGAATAACCTCTGAAGTATTTGTGTTGCGTTTTTTGTGTGTTCTATTGTCTTCGTAGCTTCCATCTATATATGACGCCTGTAATCTATTCTTGAAATGAGCTCGCAGATGAGAAGTTTTCGGAAATTTCTCGGATACTTTCGAAGTGGGTTTTCATTGTTTGCATTTTGCTTTATTTTTTTCGACAGCGTCCTCTTTTTGAACGAAAACCTCAGGTAAAAAAAATTCTGAAAATTGACTGGAGAATCAGTTTTTGTGAGTTTACTGCTCTATTCACAAGAATGTAAGACATGGTTTTTCAAATTCTGACTCACAGCAAAATTGGCTGAGTGACAGCAGGTTCTAAAATGCGCATCCAATGCAATTATTAACATTTCAAATAACCTCCTTATGATGTACGTTCTTCTGCATACGGTATATGGGTAAATTTGACGCATGATCTACGCTGAAAGTTGTAAACTTGCTATATACGCAATGGAAGTACCATCTGGAAACTTCTTCCAACACCGGTTTTTTTCCCGAAGGAAGGGATTACAATAATAACGTTGCAGGCAAAGTTCATCGTGGATATCTGAAGCACAGCATATCAGTGGCTGCTCGAGTTAATTGCAGACAAATGTACAGTATCGTCATTAATAAATGTTTGTCTACCAATCTGTGTTATGCATTAGCATGTTGCGTTTTATATGGTTTGTAAAATTATTTATGAGCGTCTCATATTCTGGTGAATGCGGTGATTTTTAAACGGACGCGATTCTCTGTCGATCGTGAGTTGTGCGTTCATGAACATTTCAAACTCGAACTTGATTCAAATTATTTACCTCGCAGGTCCTTTTTTAATTTTTAATGAAGTGATGGACGAAGCTGCAATCACCGCCGATTTTCTGAAGAATCGTTTCACAATCGTCCCGGAATACAATTCGAAGGACCTGCGAACCGATTCTACGATCTCCTTGGAGGTGGATGCGTTGTTCGCCCCGTATGGCAAAGACGAAAAACTCGCTGCCACGTACCGCGGAATCGGAAACACGTTCTTCCGGAAAAAGGAATTCGACTCCGCGATCGCATGGTACAACAAGGCCATAAGGAAAGCACCAATGTCTTCCGAAACCTTGGCCTTGGCCATCGGAAACCGAGCTTTGAGTCGGTTACATGATCCGACCAATGAAGACGGCGGATGGCCGTTTGAAGACGCGCGTTTTGCACTTACGCTCAATTACCCGGAGGTCCAAAAGCACAAGTTTTATATGCAAATTGGGAAAGCTAGGATGTCCCAGGGACTCTGGTTGGATGCCATAAAGGACTTCGAATGTGCTCTGGAAAATTTAAAATACCTTCGGGAAGAAAAGAGGCCGTTTTGGAAGCACGAGTACGAGGGACTATTGTCAGAGGCCATGGAGAACGTGAGCAAGACTTTGATGATGAAACGTTCGGATTCTAATGATAGCGAGAAAAGAGAAGTGAAGGGTGATGATGAAAAGATTGCGTTGAATCCTGTGGAAAAGCATTTGTTTTTGGATATTCAATGGTTGACGACGACTGTTGAAAGTAAGGGTGACAATAATTCACCTTTGATTGTGGCGGACAGAGGCATCAAAATTGGCAAGTTTTGTTTTTTCAGAGCGTATTTTTTTGCAGAATAGTTTGAAGAACTTTTTGTGCGTTCACAGGCGAACGAATTGGTGTGGATTTTCCAATTGCTGTGGCGCTGAATACATCATTGTTGGATTCCCACTGTCTGCAGTGTCTGAAATATCGGCCCGTGCAACAGTACCCTTGCGAAAATTGTTCATTAGTTAGTCATTTCCTTAATTACCATCGTTTGGGACATCAATCTATTGTAAATAGTTGGAGATACGACTTATTAAAATGGGTTACCCTACTTTTTAAGCTAGGAGTTTCCAAAAAGTACTGTAGTAGAACATTAATAAAAAAAATTGAAAGGCAAGTACAAAGACACCTGAAATCTCTACTGAAAAGTTAGTTCTCAGTAAAAAGTAATCATTTCCTGTGATTCAGGTTGTCGTTGAAAAGAGTGAAGACTACGGGGATATGCACATTATTGGGTTTATTACGTTTCAATGTGCCGAGAAGGATCACATTTGGGCACGAAAGAATAATTCGCATCAGTTCATATAGAAGCACCGGATTTCGAAAATTTCAAGATTCTCTATTTGATGCTCATGAAAATTCAGCAGGAGGGACCTTTAGAAGCACATGAAACTGAGAAATAATATTCGTGGTAAAATCCGAGTGCAAATATGACTCATGAGTCATGACGCATAGCTTCGAACGGCATTTTTAGTCACACTTTTTTATATGAAAAAAAGGAAGCATTTATTTTTTAAATTTCAAAATGTGCTCTGCGCCTTTACTTTTCAAACTCCAAATTAGGCCTAAAAAATCTTCGTTCATAATGTTCATGATTCATTATTTTAGATAATGAAGACTACTCTACTGTACAACCGTTTTAGCTGGAGGAATTGTTTTTTTTTTTAAAGTGAAAGCAAATTTTGACATGACTTCATGCTGTATGATATCAAATGTTCAGCATTTGATGGAGCATCTGATGATTTCGCGCAGCATTATATTCCGCTGGTCACGCGGATGCATTTTTTCCATGTTGTTTCTTCGCACATGAAAGAAGAAGAGGCTCAGCTTTAAAAACCTTAAAGAAATATTCTTGAGCGAACAATTTTATTTAAACTTATACGTTGTTCATAGGTTTTCTACTGCGATTTATTGTCGTGCAAAAAGCATCAGCAGCTGCAGCATGACGCAATCTGCAAAATTTTGCCTGCGTTGAAATCGGATCCCGTTTGGGGACCCGTGTTTACGCAAGTTGCTGCGCTACTCGTGAAGCGCAGCTTGAAGGAATGGGAACATTACTGTGAAAACACATTTTTATGCAATGGTTTTCTGAGACACGAAAAGGAAGCTTGGACAGACGACACAATAAGTCCTTCAATCGAGGATCTGCTCAAGATTCAGACTTATTAAGCTGCGTCCTATGGGCTCGTCTTTACCGAAAGTATGTTTACACGCCTTAAATATTTCCATATTTTGCTAAAAATTTAAAAGATGTAGTACGAAGGTACGTAAATAGACCAGAAAAAGCGTCTAAAATACGTAAATAGACCAGAAAAAGCGTCTAAAAAAGAGTTAGCCTTAAGACCTTTTTCCCCTAAGTGCCACACTTCCTGCTTCTTTTCTATAACCTAATATAAAAGTTTTATCGTAACGTGAACTGTAGGTATCTGATTTCTTATTCGCTGACAATCTATGACTACAAATCCAGGGAGAAAACTGCGGACCAGGAAACTTCAAGGTTTTCATTCATGCACGCTCTTCGGCACTAGCCTAGACCGAAGAAACAATACGAGAGTGCGAACTTCGTATCAACATTGGGGTTACGGTAGCAAGTCAAGCTGCCCTCCTTCCGTTGTGAAGACCGATAGTCCAGCCAAATAATATTTTTTTGATTATGGTTCTATAATTGGTTGCTCAGAAAAATGTCCACTCATCAATACAGTACATTCAAACGGCAGATGACATTGCGCTTCTAAAACTCGCCGCGCTTGAGGGTTTTCATGGATACGTTGTACCTTGTACGTAACAAGAAAAACTTATTGCTGAAGAGAAATATGGATGACATTATAAAAGACCTTATTTCTTCAAATTGATATTTATCCCCACCAAAAATCATTACAGTTGCCGAAAAACAGAGAAGATTTATGATTTCACGTAAATGTTTGTTTAAAGTTAATTCAAATAGGGGCATCTTATGGCGATTTCTTGATAAAAAAAATTACTGGATAAATCAAACATCACGGTTGATGAAATGTTCAAAAATGTGATGGAAAAAATTGTAGGAAATCGGCAGAAAATAATTCAAAAATTCTGAAATGATTTTTAACGGTACAGGGATAAAGAGATAAAATCTGAATACTGTACAGTACAATGCAGGGAGACATACGGCCCTTCGCGTTTAATTTTATATAATCGGGTTTTCCGTAAATTAAGTGCCTGTTCAATTGAACTGTGCAAGTTTTCGAAATTACACTTCATCATTTTGAATGTCTTCCATATAAATGAGACATCCATGCTTA